ATTCGTAGACGGTGCGCCAGAGGGGCGCAGGCCTGTGAGCTCAAAGTGGTGTTTTAGTTGGAAGACCGACAAGGAAGGGAAGATAGACACGCTCAAAGCGCGTCTGGTGGCCAGGGGGTTTTCGCAAGTCCCAAACGTCGATTATTTCCATTCGTCTTCCCCTTGCCCATCATCCGCATTCATCAAACTGATGCTTGCGGTAGCAAACCTGAAGGGCATGAACCTCCATCACTGGGATGTGAAGAAGGCGTACACACACGGCACGCTAGATGAGGAGGTTTTTCTGAGGCTCCCTGCTGGGTGCGGGGACAAATCGCATAAGATTGTTTTAGGCTGAGCGTGCGATTTATGGTCTGAAGCAGAGCGGTAGGCAGTGGGGGTACCACGCTGCTGATACGCTAGTCGAGAACGGGTTCGAGCAATGCAAGGCGGACCCGTGTGTTTTCCGCAAGATGGTAGACGAAGTCGTGGTGATGATTATCGTGATTTATGTGGATGACATTTTGGTGGCTGGGTCTGACGAGGATTGCGAGGAGTTGCTTGCTTCTCTCAACAAGAAGTTCCCCACCACAAACCTTAGAGAGTGTCAATGGTTTGACGGGTGTGCCATCGAGAGAGACTCCTAGAATCTCCCAAACCGCGTATATCGACAGCATGGTTGAACGCTTTGATGTGCAATCAACTTCCCGCATCCCCGCTACCCCTGGTGCCGATCTAGGGCCGAAACGAGAGGATGAGGAGGGAGGGGAGTGGCCGGTGAGGGAGGCCATCGGCAGCATGATGTGGGTGTCGACGTTCTCGCGTCCGACGTCTCGTTCGCCGTGCGTGCGGTAGCGCGTCACGCCCACGCCCCGGCGAAGAGGCACTGGGATGCTGTACAGAAGATCCTCGGCTACCTGAAAGGGACGAGGGACCTCGGCATCACCTACCAACGGGGATCGGGGTTAGGGCTGGCCGTGTACGTAGACGCTAGCTACGCCGACACGGAGGATAGGCGTTCGGTGTCAGGTTTGGTGACGACGGTCGGAGGTACCGTAGTCAGCCATGGTAGGAAGACACAGAGCATCGTGTCTCTGTCTTCGACGGAGGCCGAATACATTGCTGCCGGGGAGGGCGTCAAGGAGGCGTTGTTTGTGCGTGCTGTGCTTTCGTTTGTTGCCCCAGAGACCAGTGGTAGCAGCATCCGGGTCCTTGAGGACAACCAGGGGGCCATAGCGTTGGTGCAGAACCCTCTCAGCTCAGGTCGCACTAAACACATCGACGTGCGGTTTCATTTCATCCGCGGATTGTTTGGGTCGGGGGATATTTCGGTCAAGTTGGTCCCGACAACGGAGCAACACGCGGACCTCCTTACCAAGGCCCTTAGCAGGGCCAGTCTGCAGTACCACCGGCGCAAGCTGATGAATTTGCCGGAGTAGCTGTAGCAGTTTCTAGCACTTGGAAGAGGCCATGTTTTCCATGCGGGGAAAGGCACATAATAACTGTTGCGGTCTGTGCACCAATGGCAGGAGTAGGGGGCATTGGGAGACCATCGTCCGGGGGAACGTAGTTCCTCGCGTTCTTGTCTTCGCCTTGGGCTTTCTAATAAGTGCGGCCGTTGTGATCCGCTGTGATAGCGACGGTTTTTGTGGTGGTAGTTTTTTTTTCGAGGGGTTTTGCCCGGACGCCGGGTTTCCCCTCCACATATTACCATGTTGGTATTTACCATAGCGCCGTTTTGTAGGCGAAACGGGGGAGGAAGGCTCCCCCGAGAGCCTTTGCCGTGCGTGTCTAGCATGGAGAACGTCAGGCGCGGACTCCTTCGGCATTTCAGCTTTGTCGTGGACGCGGTGAAGAACGAGCGGTGTAGCACGCACGCAATCGAGGTCAGTTGTGGTGGTCTTGGGTTGCACCCGTGGGTAGACGCGTACTTTTTGTTATAGTAGACCAGCAGTGCAGTAGGGGCGCCCAGCAGGTTGCTTGTGTCGATGTTGCGCCATTGGCGTGGACTCCTGATTGTTTCCCCCCATCAAAAGAAGGGGTGCCCCTTTCACATGCCGAACAGGGCGCGGGCAACATGTCTTCTTCCCCGATTCTTGGATGCGAGCCCTCAAGTTCCTACCGCCCCCCACCCTCCTCCTCCTCGCGCAACGCCCTTTTGGGTATACCGTAAATGGCAGGACACAGAAGCACAGGTCGTCGCCACNGGCGTGGACTCCTGATTGTTTCCCCCCATCAAAAGAAGGGGTGCCCCTTTCACATGCCGAACAGGGCGCGGGCAACATGTCTTCTTCCCCGATTCTTGGATGCGAGCCCTCAAGTTCCTACCGCCCCCCACCCTCCTCCTCCTCGCGCAACGCCCTTTTGGGTATACCGTAAATGGCAGGACACAGAAGCACAGGTCGTCGCCACTCTCGGTTACAACGCCACCTGCCTGGTCAGAGGTGAAGATGAAGCGCGGCGATTGCTCGACGAGCTGGCGGCCGACCCAGCCAAGGCGAAACTCTGGTACGACACCTCCTCCGGAGACCCGATGGACCCTTCACAACCGACGACCGAGGCCCCTGGCGTCTCCATGGTGTCCCGCACATCCGTGCCCCACGTTGCGGACCTACTCCGTGACCAGAACGTCAACGCAGTGGTGCGCGTCAGCATGATCACTCCGCTGTCTGAGTACAGTCACCTCGTTGCTCTTGGACCCGACGGTTTCTTCCTCTGCACGTGCCTGCGGCAGCTGGTGTACGGCCTGCTCTGCCCGCATGGCCTCGAGGCGTTGTGGGCCGAGGGTGTTGTCAGCTTCAACGGAGCAATCATCTCACCACGGTGGCGTGAGAGTGAGACGCCATGGCTGATGGCCGAGCTGGCCGCTAAGCCTGCGAGCCTATCGGCCCGAGCGGCCACGAGTGCCGGTCTGCCGGCGGGTGTCGGCCAGCCGCCGCGTGTCGACCCCAACTCCACCGTCTCGCGCTCCGGCCCTAACGTGCCATCATACACGTACGCGAACGGCGTTGCCCTGGGCAAGAAGTTGGGTGGTATGTTCAAAGAGATCAACAATCTGGCTGGCATCCACCGCGCGATGGAGACCATCAAGCTTTTCGCCCGCGGGCAAGTCGACTTGGATAAGAGATCCCAAGAAAAGCACTCGACGAACCGAGTATTCCGAGGGGTTTTCTCGCAGCCCGCCGAAGACGTGCCGTCGGGAGACGCCGGCGGTACGGGGCGGGGCCCGGGGCGGGGAGGCCGTAGCGGCGGAGGTGAAAGGGGGGCGACAGGGATGGGGGGGAGGGGCGGACGGAGCCAGGGGCGCGCAGCGAGGGGCGGAGCAACCGGCGTGCGTACACCAGGCCCTGGCGCGAGGGATTCCTCGTCCCACCCGCCAGCGGCCGTGGGCGGCGCGGTGCCACTGGTCAGTGGGGCGCACACGCTCCAGGGTGCTGGCATGCCGCTTGGTTCCCTGAGCAACGTCGCCGTTCCTGGTGGCGCGGGGCGGCAGCCCCTTGCCTTGGACCAGGAGCAAGCGCCGCCCGTGTTGAGGCAAAGGGGGCGGAGCAAAAGGCACGAGAGTTCTGCAGCTGGCGGACGTTAGTGGAGGACATCGCGCGGAGACGCCAGAGAGATGTAGCGCGCATTACGTGTGTTTGCGCGGTATGGGCGTTGCTACCGTTCGCAGTTTTTTTTTTTAGGTGGTCTGAGTACAGATAACATGAAGTCGGATTTTTTTGGCCTTCGATAGAGATCAGATCACCATTTGGGCAGCGCGTTTGGGAAGGACGGCTCGCTTCGAACCCCACACCCGGCTGTTAGGGGTTGAGGGGGGGAGAGCGTACCCAATGTGTGGAACCCTCGTCTGCTGGTTTTTCAACACCTTTTGGTTTTTCTTCCGGGCGTCGGCGAGACGCAAGTACCGCAAGTACCCTCCCGGGGGCAGCTTAGGACCGCGTGTGTACGTACGTACCATGTTTGTGCTTGGTTTCTTTTCGGCGACAAGCGCCTAGTCGTGTGACCACTGGCTCCCACGGATGTCTTGCAACACTGCTGTGTAGCTGAGCTATTCTACATATGTAACGTGAGAAACAAAAACAACAAAACATCCTCATGGACGTCATCCCAACCGACTGTCCGCACTACGCGCCGTCAGCCGCTGTGCGGTCGACCTCTTTATCGTGCGCCTTCCGACAACAATACCGCCAAGCACAAGCACCGCCATGCATGAAGGGAGTTATTTTTCGAAGACTTGAGTGCCGCCAGCGGCGAAGGGCTTGCTTCGCCTACGGGGCAAGGAGCCACGCCTGCGCTGGCAGCTGCTCCTACCGCAGGAGGGGGAGCAGCAGCGAAAGCCGCAGAGGAAGCAGCCTCCATCCTGCAGTCTTGCACGGAGAGGCTCGTGTGAGCCCGTCAGGGTACGCAGCGCTGAAGAGAGCGCAGCGTATGCTGCTGTGCCGTTGAGCCGTTTGTGTGTGCGCTGGACAAATACAAAGTGGTTCTGTAAGGGTAGTTCTGGAGGCGTTATTTACCGCTTGCGCGCAAATTCTGTGCGCAAGTCCTTGCGCACGCACGAGCCGGGCATGACATCGGACGGGGCACNAGCCGCAGAGGAAGCAGCCTCCATCCTGCAGTCTTGCACGGAGAGGCTCGTGTGAGCCCGTCAGGGTACGCAGCGCTGAAGAGAGCGCAGCGTATGCTGCTGTGCCGTTGAGCCGTTTGTGTGTGCGCTGGACAAATACAAAGTGGTTCTGTAAGGGTAGTTCTGGAGGCGTTATTTACCGCTTGCGCGCAAATTCTGTGCGCAAGTCCTTGCGCACGCACGAGCCGGGCATGACATCGGACGGGGCACCGTCTGCCCGGTTTTCTGCAAGGTACCTCTCGAATGCCTCAGCGGCGTCTGATTTGTGCTTCAGGAAATAGACATGGTTCCACCTTGTGTAATCATCCTTGACAATGAGAGTGTACCACTTCCCCCCCAAGCTCTGCACCCTAGCTTTTCCACTCAGATCCACGCTGCAGTTTCTTAACTGCTCGGGTCGACGTCTTGTTGGGGATGGGCTTGGAAAGCCCCTTCGCCGTCGAGCACCCCAGGCACTCCCGGAGCTCGCCCACCAGCGTCGTCCCCTGCTGCTTCGCCGTGGTCCTCAGCAGCACCTCGTGGGAGTGGCCGTGCGCGCAGTGGAAATCGTTGATGTCAACGGGGGTGCTGGACGCTTTCGCGTTGCCAGGAGCAATTGCGGCACAGGCATGTTCGGTGTGTGTGCGGGAACCGTTTTGGACGTACAGGTTACCGCATCGGGGGAAGTACACCAACTCTACCCCCTTTCCAACTCCAACTCGTGTTTATTGAGGGTTTTTGTTTCGAACCCGTCCTCGAAGAGGGAAGTAAGAGACACTAGGTTGTAGTCTAGTCGGGGAACGTGTGCAACCCGTTTCAACAACAGGTCGGTTGTACCGTCGCGCGAGCTAAGGGTTACCGTCACGTCGCCGTACCGTACGATAGGGAAGGTTTCTCCGGCGGCGACGCGCACACGTCGATCACACTCTTCGTAACG